CCCCAAAACCCCAAAACCCCAAAACCCCAAAACCCCAAAACCCCAAATGGAGACCTGCATGTAGAATAAATAATAAATCTTTTCAAACAGGTAGGATCTTAGTGAACGATCTGTAACTACGCTGGTCATTTAGCTCTATTTGTACTGTATAGTCTCATTTAGGTGAAAGAAGAAGCCTGGGAGCAGGTTGACAGATTTTTAGGAGGATAGGTTGTTAGAGGGGCAAGAAAGGATACATATGACTGGGGAGTTAGTATATTCAGATTTCTTACTAAAATTACTTGATTGGGAAAATATATGATACACAGACGATATATTTATACGAATGTATCAAAGAATCTTACTGATTATACCTTTCTCTGATGTATTTATACTCCTTAACATAAAACTAAATAAATCGCATCCAGTTAAACAGTCAACTTCCAGGAAATATAAATTTACTCATTCACCTTATTCCTTTGATAGCTTAATAATTGAAATTTTTAAAGAATAAATAACAAGAGAAATAGATGACGTTTATATAAAATAATTATCTCCTAATACCTAAATTTTTGGAAATCGAAAATACCTTGTAATATTTGAAACAGTAAATAATTTTACGGTATCAGCTGTTAAATGAATTCTTCGAATATAATATCGGAACCCAATTCAACATAATTTGCTAAAGTAGAATTATGAATAATATGCTAATAATTACATATGATAACTAATATGCCAATATTCCTTTAATAGAAATCACTGTTTAAGCCAAGCTTCAATCTATTTCTTAATATAACTCCTTATAAACCATTAAATCAATTTTGAACTTCTGTAAATAAGAAAAAGTGAACTTTTATATGATATATTACTTTGCATAAATATTTAAGGTATTAATAAGAAAACTCGGTAATTTCTCCATGCATATTAAATGAACACTCTCATCTGTCTTAAAACTCTAGACCTTGTAAACACTCACATGAACAATATTAATAGTTTTAGAGCGTTTATTTATGAATAAATCTCATTTGCTAACTTCACTCTAGAAATGGACTCTTCCGATATATTATCAAGCCAAGATAACAACCAAAATAACAAAGAGTTGCAGATAAAGAACTCTCTGATGAAGTGATACAACCAGAGCTTAAAACAAGGAAAAACAGTTGATATTGCAAAAATTCTGGACGAATATCAGAATAAATTCAGCGTGCCGAAGGTACTAATTATGAAATGGCTTGGATTAAACCAAAGAAAATCTTTATTCAGCCAACCAAAGGGTCAGAATAACCTATCTGAAAGCTACATCTCCCAAGAATCTGAATTTACAGCTTCAGAGTCATCACCATTAGGAAAAACAAGAGACAACAGTGCTATCTTAAGGGGAGATCTTGGAAACGCTAAAAACACTATCTCTAACAAAGGTACAAGTTATTGCTCTTAACTAGTTATCTTAAATTTTATAGAGGACAACAAGTTTAAGAGATCCTCCTCTCTTACCCTCAGCAAGTTTAGCACAGTGAATAGGAGAACCAGCTGCTTAAATTCTTTAAAATTCAAGCTTGAAGTCTTTGAAGCTTGCCATAAAAAGAACTCTTCTAATGAACGTTCGAAATTTTCTCCTCCCAGAAAAATTTGAAAGAAGGAGCTGAATAATATTAAAGAGTGTAAAGAAGATGAAAAGTTGTCAATAAAGTCTACTCTAAGACAATGCATATCAAAGAAAAACATAAAGCCAGACTTCATCATCAAAAAGAAGAGCATGCCTACTATAAAGATAACAATGCCATCAAAGACTCCAAAAAGAGAAATCAAGTTATCTGATTATAAAAGTAAGATGGAAAATTTATCCCAGTTTCTATCTCTCAAAGCTAAGGGATTGAGCACACCCTACCTATAAGCTATATAACTTAGTGTATTTTATAAACTAGCATTACTTTTTTATTTAACTTTCACTTATAGCGAAACAACACAAATCAGAAAGAAAGCTAAAGAATAACAGAAGTATCAAAAATATTGAACCGTCTAAGAAAGCTGAGAAGAGATTACCTTCCAGAAGAAGTCAGAAAAGTGCATTGAGAAGCAGGGGTCTTTTACAAATGAAGAAGCCATCCTTCCCCAACCTTAAAAAATTGGTAAGTAAAGCAAACAACTCATTGGACTTTTAAAGATATTCCGATTTAGTTCGACTCCTTCGTGAATAATTCTAAAAGGGATTTAATATTTTCTGAATTACAAACATTTTCTAACATGGCAATATAGGATATCTCAAAAATGGCTCAAAGTTATTTTAAACACTCCTTGAGAACTCTTTCTAGAACTGGCCAAGAGAGGAAACCTCAAATAAAAATGCAGAGAAAGCATAGAAGTCAATATAGAACTCCTAAACCTACCTCTTCCAAGTCAAACTTTTTAAGAGGGAAATTTCTCTCTCTTAATGAATTTTCGAAAAACAACGAAAATTCATATCTGAGTTATAAAAATCATATCTTTACTGATGTATCGAAGAATTTGGAAAATAAGGAGAAGTGTAGCACCATTTCAATCAGTGATTTCTTAACCAGTGATACCCTTGGAAGAAATAAAAAGACTCTACCTGATTTGAGCAGCAATAAATACGACTCAAGGGCAAAAATCTGACAACAGCAGAATGCTTTTAAGAATTCTGGGCTCTCTTCTCAGATGTACATAAAGGGTTTATTTGGATCAGATAAGAGCATGTTTATGTGTGAAGGGAAGAAGAATTCACAGATGATGACTATGGCAAATTCCCTTCCAAAGTTTGGAATTAACTTGAAGACTCCTCAATCTTATTCTACTGCTGCTTTGAAGACTTTCTCTGGAACTTCAAAGCTAAAACCAAAGTTATTAAACTGTGACTTGATGGAGATTAGTGAACAACTAAGCTTGAGTTCGTCAAGAGAAATCTCTCTTGAAAGACTTGATAAAAACAATAAAGATATTCCTAAGCAATACATTCTCCTCAGAAATTCTTTTAATAAGAGAGATGAAAGTAGTCCTAAAGAGTCTAGAAAGAAGAGAGCCTTTAAAATTAGGAAGAATAAAAGTAGAAGCAAAAGAAGTACTTCAGTTTGTTAACTCATTTTCTATAATCTGTTAATAATATTCAATTACAGTATTTCTACATGGGGTTTTGGGGTTTTGGGGTTTTGGGGTTTTGGGG